ATGATGATGGATGGATATGAGACACAGTTGAGACTAGCTCCGGCTAGAGATATATGAGATGGACTAGCTCCGGCTAGAGATATATGAGATGGACTAGCTCCGGCTAGCGATTTGGATGCCGATGGGATCTGGTTCCGGCGGTGATACATGGTCCATGTGTAGCCCCCATGGGTTCTGATTTGAGTATTCAGCGCGGACTGATTAGGTCAACAGATGTGTATCGTAGGAAAGACATGCATCACGACTACATGACATCATTATTGCATTTTGCATCGCATTTGCCTTATCTTTGTCTGTGATGTGTGGATTGTATCGGTTTACCCTTCTTATGTGGAATTTGATCTACTTGCTCTTATTTGTTGATCTGAGGTTGATGAGGATATACTGTTGGTTCTGGCTGTTGAATATGATCTGTTTAGTATAGGTTGGTTGGGTTGCTGCTAGATTGAAGTTTCGGTGGTTCGGTTGGGATTGAAAGGAGTTGTTTGTAGCTGCTAGTTTTGCTTAGTTTAGAGTTACTTGCGAGTACCTGTGGTTTTCGGTACTCACCCTTGCTTCTACACAATTGTGTAGGTTGACAGCTCTCTCAGATTCGGCTTAGTATTTTCTTTAGCAGATTGAGCTTCGGGACATACTCGAGAGGTAGCGGTTCATTCTAGACGTGCCCTTGAGTTATCTTTACTTTCAGTTTTGTTCTATTCGAGAACTATACTCTGAGACTTGTATATTTTTATTCGAATTCTGTATTTAGAGGTTTGTACTTGTGACAACCAAATTCTGGGTAGTGTTGAGTCTTAATTAAAGTCTTCCGCTTATTTATTATCTTTTATTCTCGTATTTCTACTTCTCTATCATTGTGGTTGGGTTAGGCTGACGTGTCCGGTGGGAAATGGACACGTGCCATCACATCTGGATTTGGGGTGTGACACTTCCGCACCAATCACAAATGTTGTTCCTCTTGTTGAAGAACACTTTAACAATGTTGAACAACATTTGGGTGAAACACTTCAAAAAGTAACCAACTCACAAGTATTTGACGCAAATGAACCACAAATAGTGCCATTAAGAAAATCGGTCATTTCAGATGATTTTGTGATTTATTTACAAGAGTCAGATTTTGACATTGGAATTAATAAAGATCTGTTTCATTTCACAGGCCATAGAAAACACTGAGTCTAATAAATGGATTGATGCTATAATGAAGAGTTAAAATCCATGGAATACAACAAAGTCTGGAATCTTGTTCAATTACCAGAAAGTTCTAAAAGAATCTTGTGTAGACCAAACACGATTCAAATGGTAATATTGAACGATATAAAGTCAGACTTGTTGCCAAGGGATACACTAAAAAAGAAGGCATTGATTATAAAGAGACCTTTTCACTGGTCTCAAAGAAAGACTCATTAAGAATTGTTTTGGCTTTGGTAGTTCATTATGATTTAGAGTTACATCAAATAGATGTGAAAACTATCATTTTTTTCTTAATGGAGACCTTGAGGAGGATGTTTATATGGACCAACCTGAGGGTTTCGAAATTAAAGGATAATATCAAATGGTGTATAAGTTAACGAAGTCAATAAATGAACTCAAATAAGCCTCACGATAATGGTATATAAAGTTTAATGATACCATAACATCTTTTGGATTTATGGAAATTACCGTTTTCGGTGCATATACCAAAAGATCAGTGTGAGTAAGTTTATATTTTTAGTCCTATATGTTGATGACATTTTTACTTGCTGCTAATGATTTAGTTATGGGTTAGTTTGTCATGAAATATAATTAGTATAATCGACATAAATCACCATGTGAGTACATGGAGTGTGATCTTGACCCAATCAACTAAGCCATTTCACACCTTGCCGGGTGTGAAAATGATTACATGTCATGAGGATTCATAGTAGCCCAAATTGGGAGACACATAAAGGAGTCGTCCGAACCAATAACATGATTTCATGTGTTTATGTGTTCGTCGTTAGACTTATACCTTCTCAGTTAACCATTTATTCCATTAAGTTTTCATGTTCATAGATTAGCCCGAGGCCTCGACTCATATTCATAGGTTTTTTCACTTTGTGCACCATAACTTGCAAATGATAACTCATAATCAAGAAATGCGTGTCATAGTTCGTCTCAAAGAAAAACATGTCATAGTATTTTAAGTTCAATTTCTTGAGGAGTTTCTATTGGTTTAAAATTGTCAAGATCATATATATCGAAAGAAATCATCAAGAAAATAATCAAATAAATCATTAAGCTTAATTTTCAAAATAAAAATCACTCCTTTTTTTCTTCATGTTCATTTGCAATTTTACGGTGAGACCCGTACAACTCATAGGAATAGAGGATCAAGATATGAGATTTCATTATAGATTCAAGTATATTCATGGATGGAATTTTGTAGACATGAGGCATAATCAATCGTGGGAAAGAACAAAGGTCTGCTCAGACATAAAAGATAGCTTTACATACCTTAATTGCTTTAAATACCCAAAAAAATCTAATCTTGAAAGGAGAAAAATAATAAAAATCTTTCTTGAACCTTGGGGGTGAACTTTTCTTGAAAATCCTAGGATTGTAGTGTAGAATATTACTGAAAATTCATAGTTAATGATTAGGATGATTAATAATACTTTAAAATACATGAAAGAAACATATTTTAATATTGGAGGGTGAGACAATGAGAGAAAATCGTTTGAGGATTGATGAGAATGAAAAATAGAATGAAAATATTGGAGATGTAAGTGTTTTAAAAACTTCGCCAGCCATTATGTGATGCCAAAAGTGTGGATCGTACAATAGGAGTGTTACGTAAACTTCTGGTCGCAGAAATAGACATTTTTGGTCGCACAATTTCTCTATTTTTGCTATCTTTTGGTAAAATGATCATAATCTTTTACTCCAAAGTTAAATTGATGAGAGCTTTGATGTGTTGAAAATTAGACTTAAGAATCTTTAATTTGACAGATAATGGGCCGCATAACTCTTCCTATTTTATGAGAGATGCTTGTTTGAAGTTGGAGTGCTCATATGAAAATTTCTTCAACGGAGAAGCTTTAAACTTAACTTTGGGTTAGAGGTTCCTTATGATCTTAATTCACATCTAACCCACTCTCCAAACTTAAAAATTAACCTCTTCATCTAGTTCAATTGATTCGTCATGTTCGAGTCTAATTTCATAAGTGAAACAGTTCAAATCATAGTCCAAAAGTTTGAGGTGCTACAAGAGATAAGCAACTCACTGTATAAAAAAGAGTGCATAATACCGTGAGAAATAACCTCACAAAACACACTCAAAATTTAATAAAAAATTCACACAAAAGATGGGATAACACTTATGTCTCACAAATTCTCCCCTTAAACAAGATTCTCAAAGTCCTTAGGACTATCATTGTGGATGCTACCAAATTCGAATAAAGGAGCTTCAATATATATAGTCCAAAACTTTTTCCTATAAGAAAAATGATTAGCCAAATATGAAAAAAAGTATGATTTTCTTTTAGAAAAAGAAAAGTCCAATTATAGTAAGAAAATCAACACAAACACCCAACACCAAAAATGACAAGTACTTCAAATGTGCCAAATATATGAAATCAATGTACTTTATCGTCAAGGATGAAGTTCAGAAACAAAAAGTGTCATGTGAAAATATTAGAATTCATCTCATAATTGCAAATCCGTGAATGAATGATTTACAATAAAAGATATTAAAATAATATATTCAAAGAACGAGTCTTGGTTGTTATGATCGATGCATTTATGATTTTTTGATATTATAAATTCAATTATGTGTTTACGATATACATTAATGATTTTTTTTTTATAATGATGTCTACATTATTATTTTGAGCTATCGTAAGATAAGTCTTAATAAAATATTATAGTGAACCATATGTTAAATATTTTGTAGCTCATGAATATGATATGCATGATAAGTTGCTAACGTAGTTGTTTATGGAAGGTAGTATGTAGTTCAATTTTTCTTTAAGTACAATTCACATAGCCAATAATAGTACTTTATCTTATTGTGGTATATATAATGGATATTATAAAAGAAATTTATTTTATGCGCAATTAATGTTTATGTCATTAAATATTAATGTTATGTCATCATTGAGTCAAGTGAGAAGGTATAAGTCTTATTAGTTATTGTTTTATTTGTGGTCTAATTAGTGTAAAACTCATAACCAATACTATTTAATAAAGAATAGATCTTATTCGTATCAAATTATTTAATGAACGTACCAGATTAAATTTTAATCTCTATAAATTGATCGTTTAATTTATAGATTACCATATATTTTCTATACAATTCCATCATCGACAATAAACTAAAATGAGAAAATGCATAAGTACCCCCCAGCCTATGCCCGAAATTCCTGAGACACATTTAACATTTACTAAGGTTCTATTACCCCCGAACTTATTTTTTAATTAATTTTCTACCCCTTTTCGGCTTACGTGGCACTATCCTTGAAGAAATTGTCAACACGCGCTGGGCCCACAAGATAGTGCCATGTAGGCCGAAAAGGGATAAAAAATTATATATAAAATAAGTTTGGGAGGGTAATAGGACCTTAGTAAATGTTAGATGTGTCTCAGGGATTTTGGGCATAGGCTGGGGTACTTATGTATTTTTAAAAAACTAGCTTGTGCAACTAAAACTTAAGCTCCTTTTTCTACAATAAAGTTTAAACTTGTCTGCCGATAGATAATAGCAAGTGTTCAAAGAATCAATTGAGATACAATCAAAGCTCATTAGAAGTAATTTAAAAAATATCATAAAAATATGATGCAATGCATGAGGTTAATGTTCTCTTAATTAGAGGTTTTGAATTTAACTCTAAATATGTAAAAATTCTTTTCAGAAAAAGCTAATAAAAAATAGTGGAACAATGCAGATAAAGGGGAAAATAAAAATTAATTTTTTTTTTAAAAAATAAAAATATATATTTATATGCTAAAAGAATTCTTGAAAATACAAGGGGGTGGGGCGGGGGTAGTTGTAGAAGGGGAAGGAAACAGCTCAAGGGAAGCAATGGTGAGAAGAAGAAATCAGTAGCTGCTTCAGTTACAAATGGAGTCTTGGTTACGGCCTTTCTTGGCTCAAACCCTTAATTGGGTCTCCACTCAAAACCTCCACAAATATGGTTAGCAATTCCAATCTCTGTTTCTTATCGAATTTTTCTGGCTTTTAAAAAGTATATCTGAGCTTAAAAATTGAAACTTTTATCAACGGCCGGCTGATTTTTTCTTGATTGATTGATGGGTATATAAGGATTTATGGAGCAAGATGAAAAATAAATTGAAAAATAGAATTTGGTTTAAAGTTCTTTGGATGAAGAATCTAAATTTAATTTCTTTCCAGTTCTGAAATGTTACTTTGTCAGCTAACCAATATATAGTTTGATATTTTTTCGGATGATGGTGGTGTTGAGATCAGCTTAGGCGCACCTCGATTGATCCACAAGCATAGTTATGGAGTAAACCTGCCTACTAAGGCTTGGTGAGATGTGCTCACATTGAGTGTTGTAGCTGCAATCCATTTGAATTTAGTTTCGTACTAGAGGTGTTTTAAGCACTTGGACAATTTGAATTGATATTGATTATCCAGAATGTGAAGGAGCTATGCGGATCTCCTGTTATTGTGCCTTAGGTCTTCTCATATTAACCTAAGGCAATGGTTAACGTGGTACCACTGTATGCAAAGCTCAAACTTGTTCAAATTAATAAGCAGAGTAGAACGCGAAAAAGGATATGTGAAACACAAGAGGTGGAGGTTAGTCAGATTATTAATCGACTGTTGTTTAGACGAAATAGACTTCCCTGCAGTTAGAAGATTTGCTAATTATGAAGGTTTAAAAGATGCGTGAAGAAATAAAAAAACATAGTTGACATAGAGATTTTTATATTGGTTTGGATCAACAATGTGGTGCCCTAGTCTAGTCCCTTTGGTTACAAGGGTTTCCTTAGAGCATTGAATGATTCTTCGTTACACGAATAGCCTAGTTGTGAACTCTGAGAGTTCCCTGATCGGGAAGATTCCAGTGCATTTTTCGGTCACAACCTCAACTCTTATAGTTTTTAATCTCTCTCTTTTTTTTTCACTAGTAAACTATGTTGAATAGAGTGCTTTTACAAAATGAAAGAGTGAATAGGGTTTTTGCTCAAGTGAAGTTGCACAATCTTCTTCTTTAAGGATGATTTGCTTTTATACTGTTTGGCTGCTTCTAGACCGTTGCTTGAACAGATTTGAATCAATCGATCTCTGAACTTGAATGTCATTGGATTGATCTGAGAATCGATCCTTGATTTTCAGCGATTTGCTCTTAAGATAACCCAAGGGTTCTTCTCCTTCAATCAAGGTATCTTGATTGAGTGTCCTGATCTTTCTTGTCGTAAGCATGTCTTCTCTTCCCTTGTGGTGTGCTTACTTGTTTCCAACTTTAGGCAAATCAATCTTCCTTGATTCTGGTAGTGTCTGCTTTCCATCGTTGCGGTATGCTGCTGACTTGTTCCATCTGTACGCGAATCAATTTTCCTTACTTCTGGTGGCGTGTGCTTCCTTCCTTGTTTATAGTTATGCCTTCCCTTCACAGATTTTGGATGTCTCCTTATTTCTTTTTCCTGCACAGATCCTTTAGGATTAGTGCCATCATTAAAACATTAGTTAATGAAGCTTACAATATGTGTATCACAGCAATGGTTCAGTGCACGACTTAGGTTATATCATCACTCTCCATGTTGTAGGTCTTTGTCTCTGCTAAGAGAAGGATGTTACTGTGAGTTGCAAGTTGCTACTTGCTAGTATTGGTTTTTCAAGTAGTTAGTTAAGTCATTTGTTGACTTCTGTTTAGCATGCCGTAAGTTTTAGAAATTCCTACATTTTACTAATTCCTGCTACCAATCAATTACTATTAGTTTTACCAAATAAATTTTGTTTAATATAAGAAGAAAAAGTTAGAGATAGAAAACGGTACTGTTATCTTGAACTGGCAATTGCTGGTAGTTTGGTAGTCTCATATGGCCCAAACGCTAATTTTTTTTTTTAATTCTAATCAGGTGCTACTGCTTTACTAGTAGTATCAGAATGATTCTTCAACCTGATGATATTGTTCAACACGCAAGTTAGTTGTAGTGGAAAAAGTAGGAATGCAGAGACATGGGAAGAAACAAGGAAATATGGTATGGCATTCTCTTAAAATGTGCTGTCGATGTTGCTGTGCTTTTGCAGCAAACTTTGAGGAGGTTTTATTATACCACGTGACTGTCAAGTGTCAACTATCGTTAGCTTATCCTTCTGCGTCACTTTATGATGATAGATCTTTCCAAGTTTGTGGTAGAAACTAAGAGTCTAAGCAACTTTACGCTTTTCTTATATAGTTATTGACATAAACATTTCTCATAATCAACTCAAATCTCTGCAAATAGGTGACATTCTATTTAAAATTGACAAGAACTGATATAATTATATGCATGAGCCAAAGAAAAGCATCTATTAACCAAATTCAAGATCCAAGTTACTGTGTGAACTTCTCTTTTACAAACTCTCCTACACTACAGCTCTTGGAAATACTGTCTCACCTGCCCATGCAGATAGGTTTAAAAAGATCGCGGTTTTTCAGGCAGTCTGTGGAAGTAAAATAAAGAAATATCAAACAACAGTCGTGCTGCTTTGGAATTTCCTTCTTCCAGTTGATTTTATATTTATGCTTGTTAAATTGTTCTACTGGATTTAATGCAATAGACATGAAAGAAGATTTAATACTAGCTCTACTCATTGCTCTTGTTTGACTCAAGCTACTGTTTTGATAGGAGCTGTTTTGAATAGGTTCCTACCAGGCATCCTGGAAAATGAGGAGGCGACAAAAAGGGCATTGCAAGATGACAAATCACAAAATGTTGAGGAAGTACAGAAAATCATAGGGTACGACTTTAATGATCGGAATTTATTGCGGCAAGCTTTTACACATACGTCGTATCATAAGGACTGTATATCTTATGAGCGGCTCGAGTATGTGGGTGACTCGGTTCTTAACTTTATGATCACAAAAGAACATTTTTTTAAGTATCCAAATCTTCCACCTGGGTTGTTGTCACCTCTACGTGCTGCAAATGTTGACACAGAGAAGCTTGCGCGTGCTGCTGTTAAGCATAGTTTCCACAAGTATTTACAGCATGGAAAGCCTATCCTTATGCGACGAGTAAGTAAGCTTACTAATGAAGGGCATTTGCTTTGTCTTATTTTTATTTCTTTTTTGGGTTACTTATTCGAAAATAAACCCTGTCTGGTATATTGGTGTCCAGAAATATTTCTACAGTTTGGCATTTGGTTGCTAATTTAGATAGCACATCAACATTTAGCTGTTTCCTCTGTGTTTCCATGCCAGTGGAAATTGAAGCATTTTCACATACACACACTTGTATATGAAATTCAGTTTTTCCATGTGTTTATAGGAATTTTAAAATATTTCCTTCTTTTCCATTCACTGATCAGTGATCAGTGGAGTGTATGTATGTGAAAATAGAAAACCATTTCTTTCCATTTTCACATACACAGACTCCACTGATCATTTTCACATACACACACTCCACTGATCAGTGAAGGGAAAAGAAGGAAATACTTCACATACACACACTGAATGAGAAAGTCTCACTTTACTTCCTTTGACTTTTCTCAATCTCGTCTAAAGTATGCTATTTTTCATTGATATACTGCTCCTTCCTTACCGCTTTACCTTTTTCTTGGTGTTTCATTTAAGGTTCCGTATGTGTCTCTCCATCTTTTCCAATTGACAAATGTTATCTTTATTCACAGATTCAATCATTTATAAATGTTCTTCCTGAGTATCCTTTGCATTCCCATGGATTGATAGATGCTCCAAAGGTGCTTGCTGATGTTGTTGAATCAACGATAGGAGCAGTATTTATTGATAGCAATTCTTCAATTGACACTACCTGGGAGGTATGTTCCTTTCCCCCCTCAAATTCCTAATTGGAAGAGTGGAGAAAAATATTACTGGTACATGTACCTCTTATCGTGTGAAATGTTTCCATCGCAGTTCATTTGATTGGCTTGTAGTTCTTATAGGTTATATAGATTGCTAGGACCTACTTGAACCTCCCACCAAAGAAAAAACTGTCAAGAACCACCAAATATGGATAAACTATATATTGTATTACTACTTTATGACTGGAAGTTCATGAGGAATCTTGAAATGAATTTCTCCAGTTGAATGCTGAAGCAGCGACATTTACATCATATTATATGGAAAATAGAGAACCATTTTAGAATCGATGAGCTTGGGCGGTCAATTTCTATACTTCAAATTCAATCTAAACATGGTCCCCTGTAAGTGAATATACACCTAGGAGGTGGCAGTGAGGGAGACATTGAGGCGGATCTGGGATTCTGGACCACAACCCTTTTTGTTTACTGGGTTCTGGATAGATTATTTGTACATGTTAAATGAATTTCTTTAACACAAATATAAAGTCTGGACTAAAGTTGATTGGTTATGCCGAACCTAACTTTAGTGTAGATCCGCACCTAGGGGGACAAAGAGATACTTAATGCAGATATAAGATGTCACTTAATATCTGATATTACATGACTCAACCTCTTAAGGGGTAGACCCGTCGGGATAGGTTGCTATCTGGTCCTTTATGCATTGCACTATAGCTTCGGCCTGACACACCCCAAGAAGTCTATAAAGATTGACTGTGTCACGTCGACTAATGAGAAGGGTAACTTATATAATTTTTGTTCTGTGTTTTCTTCTTGATTGGGGCTCAAAATGTCACTTGAACAGTATTCTTTCCATTCCTTGCCTCTTAATGCCATGCTGCTTTTGATATTGGCTGACCTGTAGGTAGCGAAGATTCTATTAGAGCCCATAATTACACCGGAAATGCTTGAAACAAATCCGGTAAAGAAGCTATATGAGACCTGCCAGAAGCATAAACTTAACGTTCGAGTAGTCGATATGTGGTCACATGATGGGAGTTTTGAAGTTTTTGTTGACAATCAAATGAGGGGAAAAGGCATGTGCCATGTAAAGAAAGAAATTGCATTGAACAGAGCTGCAAACAAAGCATATAATGAAGTTATTGGAATGCTAAGTGTTGGCAATATGAATATATAGCTCATAGAGAATAATGTGGCATTAGAAATACAACTATTTGTCTCTATTTTGTTCCTTATTGCAAGTTGGAATACAGACAATCCACAAGGCATTGTTTTGATTGAGTTATGTTTTCAAGTTCCACTCAAATTAGTTAATAATTAATCGTTTTGATGGACTGTTTTTACATAAATGATAAAGTAGAAAAGTTGTAGGAATTAGATTAAATAGTGCACAATAAGTGCAAGAATCCACAAGATTGTGAAATTCAAATAATAAAATTGACTTTAGTTGGAATAGATTTTTGGTGTTGAATCGTGTGTATTGGATTGTGAAATTCAAATAATAATTTCATTTTGGCAAAACAAATTTATTTACATATGACTGAAATTTTAGTCAATTTTACATTATTATTTTTTTGTTCTTAAGTCATATATGATTGAAGTGCAGACCTACATGAAAAACTTAAAAGAGTGCTAAATTGGTTTGCTAGATTTGTTGTTGTTTTTATAAATTGATGATTAATATTTATTTATTTTATAATAAATGAAACTTATATTTTAAATTTGAGCTTAGTTGATGTAGGTATTCAATAAATTGTTGAAATTCGAATAACAAAAAATTAGCAAAAATTCTAGTACAATGCAAAATTTCCAACCAAAGGGACCCTTGAATTCATATTCATAATTTCACATGTATCATCATTCATCATTGAGTACCTTTTTAGTTAGTGGGGAAACAAAACATTGTGTTGCTTGGTGGCTAAGGTTTGAATATATAGTACAATAATTGAACTTTGGTTTAACCAATTACATTTAAGAAAAATACTTTAGCTCAAGATTGACAAGTTGTATTATTGTACTATAGGTTCAATAATGGATCAGACTTCCCCTATGGGCTATGCCTTTTTTTTTTTCTTCCCTTTCATTTTCATGGACAATTCAGTATCATTGTTTTTCTTTTTTACTGACCTAGTCATAAGACAGGACACATCCTATGGATCCTTTTTTTCGTTTTTCATTTTGTGTTTAAAATCTACACTAAAATGTCGACTAAATTTGGAGTGCGCATTACAGAGCTTACTCAGATGTGACACTTCTAATAAGATTTTCTCCTTCTTAATGCTCTATCCAAAACCTCTAGTTAAAAGTGAAATAATCACACCACAGCACCCTAACCATGTTGGTATCCTATGAACCATTTGTTTGCTTTATTCCATGATTTAGGGTGTGATGGATACAACATAAATTATTTTTCATGAAAAATATTTTTAAAAGCCTTTTTTTACGTTTAGTAATTAAGAAAATATTGTATGAGAAATATTTTTATGTAAACTAGCACAAAATATTATAGGGGTGGGATGAAGTGGAGAGTGGGGTTCGTGAGTGGGATAGTCACGAGGATTGGATGAATAGGGAAAAGACGATGAATTTGGAATATTACTAGAACTTGTTCTTTCTTTTTTATATTAAGAAAGTCATTTTCCTTATATGAAACAATAAAGTAAATTAAAAATTTATGGAACAATTTGATTTCTTGCTATTTATTTGTTTATTTATTTCTTGCATAGTTTTCATCAAATCTAATAAATAGAGTTGAATCAATATTTGACAGTATCTTTTGATAAACTTAAAGGATGGACAAAATTACGAAGTACATACATAGAAGAACTAATTTGAACTTTTCCTTAAACATAAGGGGCTATTTTTGTCATTTTATCTGACTTCATCTTTATACAAAAAAATCTATAAAACCCATTCTAAATTAGGAGTCCTCCCTTCAAACTTGTTATAATTTGAATTTGATATATAGCCATGGAAGAACAAAGCTTTCAACAACGGGAGAGGCTAGTAGAGGAAATAACAGGATACAAATTTAAGAATCCCGACTTGTTACATCAAGCTTTCACTCATCCTTCTGTCCCACAAAATTGGGCATCTAATGACAGAATGGAGTATTTAGGTAAGCAGTGAATTTTAATGGTTGAGTCTAACCAAAATCATTACTTTTTTTTTTTTTTGAATTTATGAACTAATTGATATTCTGATATAGGTGATTCGGTTCTGAGTCTGATGATAGCAAAAAAACATTATTTTGCTTATCCTGATTTATCTTCGAAGGATCTCACAGATTTGAGAAGTATCAATGTAGATACTGAAAAACTTGCTAGAGTCGCCATCAAATACAATTTGCACAATCATTTACGTTGTCAAATTCAATCATTTAATGAACAAGTAAGTAACAAATTCAATTCATTAAATATCTTTTAATTTTGGTCCATTGGAAACTTATTCGATAAAAATTAAAGTAACACACCGAATTGATTTTATTTTTCTATTTTTAAATTTCAATTTTTTGATCTATTTCAATTTAATATTTTTAAATTTCGATTTTCGATTTCTGATTTTTCAAATTAAAAAATCAGTTAATAAAAAAAAATAGAAAATTTTGTATAATTTTTACCTTTTGCATTTCTCCCCTACCCAATTTCTTCCCGTCCAATAAACTATATTATCATTTAATTAATTTTTTACCATTTCTTATTTTCTTTTGTAGATATCTAATTTTTTTCATACAATTGGATTTGTAATATTAATTTCTAATAGACTTTAGCTGCTTAGCTTAGATTCATCTAATTTCAATTGCATCACTTAAAGTATTTTTTTCATTTTAGTCTATTTGCCCTCCCCTCCCTTTTTTTCTTCATCTAATCCATTAATCTAAGATTTTTCTAATATAGTAAGTGCAAATAGAATTTTTTTGAATTGAATCAAACTAATTTCAATTTTTACCACCAAATTGAATACCGAAAAATCAAATCGAACCAATTGAATATCTCGAAAAGTTCATATGTTTGTTGTTTTCTGTAGGTGGAAGAATTCAGAAGTGCTACGTTGGAGTACCCATTGCATTCATATGGTTGCATTAATCCCCCTAAAGTTCTTGCAGATATAGTTGAAGCCTTAATTGCCGCAATATATATCGACTGTAATTTCTCCATTGATATAACTTGGCAGGTGATTTTATTATTCACTATATATATATATATATATTAGCTTATTGTATCTTTGGGGGTGTCTATTGACGAAATACAATGTATATTTTGATTACAGGCGGTAAAAGATATGTTGCAGCCACTAATAACTCCAGAAACACTTGAAATTCAACCAGTTACGAAAATTATGCAGCTATGTCAAAAGAATAAATTGGAGATAAACATTGTTGATAATTGGGAAGAAACAAGGGAATTTGAATGTTTTGTCGATGGAAAATCTGTTGCAAAGGGAAAATCTAGTCAAAATAAAGACACTGCAAAGAATAGGGCGGCATACAATGCATATGAACAAGTTATCGAAAATTTGCCTATGAAAACTACAGTTAAAGATCACTGATCTTTTGATGTCCATGAATTTTTCCTCAAAAAATTCTATCGACAAATCAAATTTCGATAGCTTATCTAGTATTTCATATCTTATTAGTTGTACTAATGAAATATTGTATCAATTAATGAAAAATGTCACAATTGGATAAAATATTGTTGCTTATGGAGTACATTTTTGGTAATTTCTTTTACTTGGTCGTTAATAGTAGCCATTGATTAGATTAGCTTAGGATAATACATATTACTCAAATGTTAAATCTTATCAAACACAAACATACACTTTCGATTAGCTTTTCCTTATGACGTTTTATTTTCATACTTTACATCAATTTAAATGGCCCATTTCAAATCTACATATATAGTAAAGTGAGGCATAAATAACGTGACATGACATTTTTTATGGTCTAAAAAAATATTCATCTTTTGTTTCATTTTTTTAATTAATCAATTTGTTTAATAGTTAAACATAATTCTATCATATTTATTACATTTAATTATATCTCATGAATTATAAAAAAATTAATATTTATTTGTTTTCTCTACTTAAATAATGTATATCTTTTCTATCTCTTCTACCTAATTGTTATTGCTTAACCAAATAACAATCATCTTTTGTGCGGTTGGATATCATTTTTTGTTCTCTCTCTCTCTGTTTTTTAATTAGCATGTCTTCTTCTCCTTTTTTGATTGTTTCCTTCATTTTTGTCGATCGCGTGCGTTTAGTAACAAAAAAAAAAAAAAGATTATAGAAAAGGTAATGTGGCAATATGACCACAACTTTGATGAAGGCCATAAATATATTGTTTGGAATTTTTTCTTCATAAGTATATGCAAAATTGATGTGAAATAGTTTCGACAAGTGATATAATGCAAAATCAATGAAAAATGGTTAAACCCTGAGGGGTAGCTCAGCTGGTAAAGGCCTGGGACAAAGTCCTTCAGGTCGCCGGTTCGAGCCCCAGCAGGGCCACTGGAGGCATTACAAACCGGCCGCGTCTCCAGGGCCCCGTGGAACTAACCGTGGTGGACCCGCCTTGAAACAGCGGGACCCGGTGGGTACAGCTAGTCGGGTTCGCAAAGCGACGCCCGGAAACCACGGTAAAAAAAAAAAATAAAAAAAAATGAAAAATGGTTACATTGAGTGTTTTTTTCTTTTTAGGGAAAATTACATAACTAAGCTAACATACACAGTTGTTAATTATGGTCCATAACTATAATTTAATTTTATTATAAATAACGGTTATAGTTAATGAAAAGGGAAAATTATATAAAATAGCAAACTATTAATTCAAATTAAATGTTATAACTACAGTTTCATTTAATTGTAATCCGTAGCAAACACTTGTCATTCGTCTCTCTCCCTAGAGAATCTCGCTTGCCACTCTCCCTTGCCTCTCTCACTTTATACAAACACAAATGTATAAATTGTGTTTGTGTTTGTATAAATTGAGAGAAAACTGTATATACAAATTCAAATATCTATATTTTCGTCCTATACACTTATAACTATACAAATACAGATCTTCCCCTACCAGTTCTCTTTTGCCTTTCTCTCTTTCTCGCTTTATACAAACACAAATTATACAAATTACAATGTATAATTTGTGTTGTATAAAACGAGAGAGATTTGATATATAAATGTTTTATTTCGATTCAATTTATACAAAATCAAATTCTATGCAG